TCATCGGTTGAGTGTCCCAGCTCACCCATGTGATAATCACATTTCTTTGACGGGTCAAAGTTATAGAACCGCTCAGGATTGGGCCGCTTTGGCTCAGTAATAAGCAAGCCTTTCTTCTGAAGTATTGCCAATACTTGAGACAACGACCCGGGGAGGGAGGTGAATTGCCTCTTGTTGTTCCTCCTTTGAAAAGGTTGACGACCTGAGTTTTGTTGCTAAGCTTCCGCTACTTGGATTGCTGGGGCGGAGTTAGTATTCCGCCGGCTCGGTTGGTTATAAGCCACATTCACTTCAGCTGCCGGTTCTTTCTCTTTTCTCGCACCAAATCTTCTGGTCGAGGAGGACGGCTCGACAAACCATCCATCTTTCAGCCCTATCTCAATCATTTCGCCTATGGGGATGAGTTGGTTGAAGTTGTCGGCGGAATGACAACCATCCGATTACGGTATTCGAACGGGAGAGTTTTTACGAACATCCTCTTCAACTCACTTGTCTATGGGTTCTGGGACAACCTGAGCAGCTAAATTCCTCCATCTGATAGCATAGTCTTTGAAGGACTCAGTCTTTTTCATCTGAGCACGTTCGAGATCATCACGGGTAGGAATGATGTCCGTTATGAATCTGTACTGCTTTAAGAATGCTTCACTGGCTTCTTTCCAAGTTTTGAGGCCATTTATCTTCTTCATGAGATACCAGTTCAAAGCAGGACCCGTCAAACTTGCTTGAAAGGCATGGATCATCAGGAGTTCGTTGTCAACATACGAAGTCATCTGTACGTGATAGAGCTGCAGGTGGGCTTTTGGACATGTGGTGCCATTGTACTTGTCAAAATCTGGCATTTTGAACTTCTTTGGGATTTTGATCTGTGAGTACAGGGACAGATCGATCGAAGGTGAATCCTGCAAACCTTCCAGCTGCTTCACTCTTTCTTCAAGCTTGTTGACTCGTTCGTCAGGTTTGTCTTTGTTGACGATAATCTGGACGGGGTCATCTTCTAAATCAGGAATATCGTCATCTCCGTCAACATCGACACTTTTTCTAACTTTCTGCTTTGGGACTGATGTTTCGAGGGATGCCGGAATTGGGATCGACCGAATAGCTTTGATCTCAGCGGACATTTGTTGCATCACGATGACAAGTTGCTTCATCTGGTCTTCCATACCAACAACACGCTCTTGCAAGTTGGTTTGATCGGCCATTCTGGCTCTCGACCGTGTACAAATGGGCGATCGTGATCGGTCCGTAGTTACCTAATTTCGGAACGAAACAGGCATACATAAGTGTCAAGCAAAATCATACGCCGATCCATGACATTGGTCTAACCGCTTTGAATTAAAAAGACCCCTTTATTGAAATGGTGAAAATTTTTACACCAATTAATGACTTAAAATTGAACTGAATATAAAGACAAATGACTCAATTCCTAAACAAATTTAAAAACTGAAACTGAAATGAGAAAAGAACTTCGAGCTTATTATTTAGCTTGATCTATAGACATATGGGAGGCGACTTCCTTCTTCAATTGCTCATAAGCTCGAGCTATCTTGGCTGCCTTTTCTTCAGCTTCTTCGGCCTTCCTTTTGAGGCGATTGTTCTCTGAGCGATTGGCGGACTTGAGAGGCACCTTGGGTATCTTCGGGAGCAAATCCTGCGGGATTCTGTGCCGTCGAATGTACTGGGTCATCGCGAAATAGGACTTCTGCTCTCCCTTTAGTTCTCCTTCGGGCCGAGCTATCTTTAACACACGGCACTTCTTCCACATCTTATTGAGCTGAGCTACGGTCCCTTCGTGGTCTTTATCATCATCGGCGAAGTCGACCCGGAGGAGTTCCGGTTGTAACGCCGGAGGGAGTCCCTAGAGAATTTGGTACTGTCGGGACACTCTGGCAGGGTAGTACTCGATTGCGCCAGTGAAGCCCAAAAGTGGCACCGGTCCAACACCATTACACGTAAGCTGAGCTTCCTCGACCTTGAACCAATTAGCATGCTAATGGAAACCTTGGGGTCTAGCGTTTTTCATGAAAATGATCCATTCGGAATAATGATAATCAGGTGCATTTCCTTGTTTTCCTTTATAGCTTAAAATGGGATGGCTAGAATCACTAAGCTCGGATATTGTGAGTAAATCGTCACATCCTTTTATGTGAGACAAAAACCAAATTTGCAAAAGTTCGAGGGGGGCATGAAACGTTTTGTCAACATGTTGCTTAAATTTAGTGAGTGAAATGAAAGTCTCGGCTAAAATGGTGTTGCCAAAATTCTTTTCAAGACAGACTTGTTGGACCAACCATGCGATTGACGAACTACATGCATTCTTACAGTGGGGAAAAATCACGAACTCGAAAAATGCTAACAAAAATATTCTGCCTTTTTGAAAAGATGTGGCTTTATCAAAACACTGACTCAGGAATGAAAAAGGACATGTGCCGCGATTTGCTTTTAAAACTTTTCCCAATTCATCTTTTCCAACATTCAAAATTTAGCCAACATTAAAGTAGAATCAATTCCCAAAGGTGGTGTGACTAACTCCGACTCCAATGGTTTTCCAATGAGCACGCTATATTCTTCCAATGTCGGGGTGAGCTCGTGCTTACCGAATATAAAGGTAGAGGTCTCGGGACACCAGAAGTGCGCTAATGCTCGAACGAGGCCGGTACGGACTTTGACCTCCAGTAGGGGGAGCAGCCTCCCGATGTGGCCCTCAACTAGCTTGCGGTTGGTCGGACTGAGTAGATTCCACCAGGCACGGAGCTCGTCCTTAGGAGCATCAAGAATCCGGATGTCTGCCCCTCCCATAGTGTATAGACCAAGACTCACGACCGACCTAATGTCATGGACCGACGAAAGAAAATACGGAACATAAATAAATTGCGAAATAAAGGTTCAAAAAAACTTACTTTACCCGATAGGACCATGGCAATCACATAGACATGCGCATGAAATGTGAGGTTCGATTTCTATCTAGACTCTGGCTTGCAAAATAGAGACGCGAGGATTACCGGGCTAAACCAGTCATGGTTGTGGTTAGGCCGGGGTTTCCCTTACTCCGGCTTAGTCAAGGAGCCGACCCGAGTTGCAAAGGGTGCAACCGTGGTGGGAACTCAATGACACCGTGAAAGAACTTTCGGGACCAAGGAGGGCGACCCGTACCACGCGGGTGTGGTCGGGGTGTCCGCTGTCTCAGTACCATCCTAAACCTGTGCCGCCCAGGTCCGGCAGCGGGTAGAGTGTGCGGTGTAGTGTAAATGCAAGGCATGCACAACATGTTATATCAAACAGCGCTTCGTGCATAAAATAAACCATACATCCAAACACCTCCCTGCAAAACAAGGGTTAACAATCACGCCTCCCCTTATACCTCCCATTCTGCAAAAACATTTAACACCCGGGCCCTCCCATTCTGCAAAAACATTGTGTCGTGACCCTAAAAAAATTTCCTCATTTTTCGGGCTAATGGATTATTAAGACTAAGCCTAACTCGGGCCCTCCCAAGCCCTACCAATTCGCAACTTAGGGTTTAAGTTTTTAACATGCAAAAGTTTTTATGCTCGGAGTCGCCACTAATCAATTTATGGTAGGTTGATTAGAAACCTAAATAAAACATAGGGAGATATGTTTTATTCCTACGAACCAGAGATTCTAAGCCCGGGGACTTGATTACGCTAGATCTGGTCTAACGCCCTTTCGGTACCTTTTCTTTTCAAAAATGTTTATGCATGCAGTTTGGATCCATTTGAACTTAGTTACTAACATGTGAGATGTTCATACGGGTGCGCAAACCACCAATTTAACACCCAGAAAGCATTAAATAAATTGCAAGTTTGGAAGAATTACTTACCTGGAAGCAACGTAAGCATCTGCATTGTTAGCTAGAAAATCACATTGACACCCTAATATGATTTCTAATTAACAAGCAATTCACTCAATTTCTTTTTTTGGATTTTCACTTATTTGAATGAAATCTAGCCTATATGCAATGACATGAGAAAATGACATGCGATTAATGCAACCTAGCATGCAAACTATATGTCGTGCGACGACGTGACCTATTTCTAATGACAGGACGAATGATTATTTTTGGTATTTTCTCAATTTAAATTCGGAATAATAAAAATGCCTAAATTAACATGCAAACTATGATGATTTAATCTACCCTAGCATGATTTCTTTTTAGGATTTTTGTTAAAATTCGGAATAATGAATTACTTAAATTAAGAATACAATCTATCCTAATCTATCCTAAAACAATTCATTCTTCTTTTTTGGGATTTTCATGGAAATTCGAAATAATAAAATAACCTGAATAATCTATTAAGATTAGAATATTACTTAATTTAAACTAGGAAATAAATCATCTCAAGTCCTAATTTAAATTAAATAACTACTCTATCTTCTAGATATATTTAGGATTCCTAGACATGCAAAAACTCTAATTCAAATCTAATTAATATTTTTTTTGAATTTTCTGTTTATTTGAAAAAGGAAAGCAATTAAATAAACAAGGATAGCAACCACATTCAAAACGTCCACGCGATCCGCCATATTTATTTCAAACTCGGATTAGGCACAAAAATCAAACTATCGGTCATATCTATAGGGTTATAGATATCGACGGAAAGCCGATTATTCAAATTTGGAAAGCGGAATCATTATCGTACCCAAGTGGTTATGGATAGGATAATAATTTTCCGTATCGCCGCGTATCGAACCTTAGGGATAAGGTCGGATAGTCGTCCAGATACGTTGCTAAATTAGGCAAAATTCCTAATTTTAAGTGTTTCAAATATTGCGGATATCCCAAATATTATCCTAAGATTTAGCAATCCACCAAATAATATCCACGAAATATTCAAACACCGAAAACTTAAGAAATTAAATATTTCAAAAAATATTCGGATAACGATCTTACCTAATTTGCGGATATCTTCCAAATTCGAACTCGGTGCCGGATCGGGCTTGCGGATCGGAACGCGTGGTAGCCAACGGCGGCGGTGGCAATGATGGCGCTCGCGGTGGTGCTCGGCACGGTAGGGCGGCTCACGGTGGTGGGTTGCTCGATCGAGGTTCACAAGCAGCTCGTTGGCGTCGCGGCTAAGTATGCTCTCGGTGGATGACTTACGGCCGACGGGGAGTGCTCGATGACGGGGAGGTACTCAACGTATCCCTCGGCGGATGATGGTTCGGATGCTCAGCCGGCTATGGTGACTGGTCGTGACGTTCTGCCAAGGGACAACAGTTCGTAGGGCTTTGACAAACCTGCAAAAACAGAGACGAAACTCCTTGGCTCGATGGAGGGTCGACGGCTGCAAGAGGAAGACACGATGATCCAGCAATATCACGCGTCGTTGGGCTCGACAAGGCTAGAGCAAATCGGCACAAGGTCAGCAGGATGCGAAGCGATGGGTCTGGATTCTTTGAGAACTCGCTGGAATCACTCCTGGACGCTCGAAGGCTCGGTTCTCGTTTGAGAGAGCAGCAGCAAATCAGCAGGAAGCAGAACAGTAGTTGTTCATAAAGGGCACTACCGCATGCCCACAAAAGGAAGAGGCCTTTTGGTTGAATTTCTCCACTCAAGATCACCTGGCTATGACTTTCTTTGACTCAATCTTCTTGACCTTAGTTGGCAAGATGTAATCCTAAGGCGACAAAATCTACCTCTCAACCTTCAACTTGGATAAGTCTTCAGCTTGAACACAGCAATGGATCTCCTCGGTGTCGCTAGGATTTGGGCTGGACCGTTGAGAGTGCGAGGGAGTGAGGCTGAGGCGCTGCAATTCGCAGCGTGAAAGTCTAGCACCAAGGGACACGAACGGCGACCACGGAGGGACTGCCTTCTTTTTACCTTTCTTTTCTCTCAATGTGTCGTGTATTTCAATTCTGTGGCCCCCCCAAAATCCTGACCTAATGATGTATATATAACACTAATCTAGGTCAATTAGATGGGCTCTCTAGTCCTAATGGGCTTAGGCTTGGGCTTAGATTTTAATTTAATTTAAATGGGCTGAATTAATTAAGGATAATGGGCTGAATTAAGCTCAAATTAAAACAACCGAGCCCGTTTGACTTGTAATTCCCGGCCCTTGCATTCCAAGCGAGCCGAGTCCCATTCGATGAAATTTAAGCTCGTTCGTCACCGCCGGTCCGATGCAAAATGCAATTAATCTAAAATGAATTTAAACTATATGTTATGCAATTTAAATATTTTTATTTAGGGGTTAAAGATTTAATCTCTAATTTTCTATGCAAATTACACTAAATGATACGCCAAAATTTAGGTGTCAACAATATGATCATCACAGGGGATGATCTTGAAGAAATTGCAGACCTTCAAGGGCGGTTAGCCAATGAGTTTGAGATGAAAAATTTGGGAGGCCTGAAATATTTTTTGGGAATTGAAGTAGCCAGGTCAAAGGAAGGTATTTTCTTGTCTCAGCGAAAGTGTGTGTTAGATTTATTAGCTAAGGATGGAATGTTGGAGTGTAAGCCTGCCGACACTCTTATAGTTCAAAATCATAAACTTGGAGAGTTTCCTTATCAGGTGCCTACCAATAAGGATAGATACCAAAGGTTAGTAGGGAGACTAATATATTTGTCACACACTCGTCCTGATATTGCATATGCTATAGGGGTTGTGAGCCAATTTATGCATGCTCCGAGTGAAGAACATATGAATGTTGCGGTTCGGATTCTGCGCTACTTGAAGTCAGCTCCAGGAAAAGGGTTGTTCTTTGCAAAAAACGGTCACCTTGAGGTAGAAGGATTTACGGATGCGGATTGGGCCGGTAGTATCTTTGACAGGAGGTCTACGTCAGGCTATTTCACATTTGTGGGAGGAAACTTGGTAACATGGAGGAGCAAGAAGCAGAAGGTTGTAGCCTTGTCAAGTGCTGAAGCAGAATTCCGAGGGGTAGCTAAAGGTCTATGCGAGCTATTATGGCTAAAAATGTTGATGACAGAACTTGGTTTCCCACCTGAATCCGAGATGAGATTATTTTGTGATAATAAAGCTGCGATTGAAATTTCTCACAATCTAGTTCAACATGACTGTACTAAGCATGTTGAGGTGGATAGGCATTTTGTCAAGCAGAACTTGGATGCTAAGGTGATGAAGTTTCCATTCGTTAGATCTGAAGATCAGTTGGCGGATGTTCTTACGAAGGCCTTGTCGAATCGAGCTTTTCACAGCTCACTTGTCAAGCTGGGTATCAAAGACATCTTCTCACCCGCTTGAGGGGGAGTGTTAACATGAGCTGTCTTCTAGAGCCAAAATAGGAAAGTTCTTATTGTTTTATACTCTTTCTATGTATATTTCCTTTTTCTATGTATATCCCCTGTTTTATAGGTCAATTAGGGTTGATTCTTTTCTTTGTATATATATGTACTTATAGCCTTGTAAACGTAAGCTGGAATACAGAAATTACAGAAAATTTTTAGAATTCTTTATTTTTCTTCATATCATTGGGTGTTGTCCATAAGTACTTTATCACCTTCATTAGGTTAATAGTTCTCTTTAGATTTTTTATAAATTTTTCTATAAATTATGTTTATTCATGTCAAAGATAGTATAATATTGCATCATCTCGGCGAGGTTAGATGGGGGGAAGTCGATATCAAAGACAGACTCAGGAGCCAAAAGTGACTCCGCGGTGTTGTCATTCACGCAAGGTTTCATTGATTCGGAGGAGACTCCGACCGTACATGTGTTCAAAGCCGACATTCTCGAGTTGAGCAAAGAGAAGGATTTTTCATATCAATGGAACGAGATCCGGGAGAGACACAACATAGTGGCTCTAGAAGATGCACATTTAACTTTTGCTCATCACGGTGCCGAAGGAGGTACGGAGGGCTGCCTGCGGTCATCCACGGCGTTTTGAATAAGAAAAAAAGGCACTGATTTCCTAAACACATTGCCAAAATCTTGTGGGCAATGTGTTTAGGAAAATGCTGATAGCATCTGAACTTTCCAGCTTCTCTAATGGACTCCAGTTATACCTTCTGCAGAGGACCACTGGTGATTCGCAATTTTCTTTTCAATCATTCCACAAACAGATATTGGTATTTTGAAACATAACATAGCATAACTTGGGATGGCTTGCATCACTATTTCTATGAGCAATTCCCTCCCTGCTCGCAATAATAACTTTTCTTTCGATCTTCTAGTTGATTCTCAAAATAATTCATGAGAAAACTTCTTTTCTGAGTCTTTCCCGATCAGCTGGCACTCCCAAGTATCTACCTGCACCTAGTAAAAGAGGGACTCTTGAGAGTTTTTGAAACATTTATCTGATGACTCGCTGGATAAGCCTTACTCAAGAGAACCGCAAATTTGTTTAGGTTAATTGCTTGCGCAGATGCATAACAATATTGATTCAAAATGTTCAATAGCTCCTAACATTCTCTGATAGATCTCTCAAGGAAGAAGATCCAGTCATCATCAAACAATCAATGGGACAAAATAGGGCATTCCGAGGTCAATTTTATTCCTTTGAGCCAGCCTATGAATGAGATTGATAGGGATTCTGCAACTAGAATAAACAGATGAGTAGACAATGGATCATCTTGTCGTAAACCCCGCAATGAATGAAATAAGGGAGTAGTTCTCCATTTAACTTGACACCAAAAGAAACACTGGTCACGGAACGCACAATCCAGTCGAACCATATGGAGCAGAATCCTAGCTTCATCCAATAAGCCCTTACAAAGTCCCACTCCACCCGACCATAGGCCTTGCGTCTAATTTGAGCATAGCAATAAATTTTATCTTCCTTCACCTTCTCCGTGAAGGGTGCAACACTTCATGCACAACAAAAAATTATTTTGAAATTCACACCCCGGAACAAAGGCGCCTTCCACCGAGAAATCAATTGAGGCATTAATGGTTTTTAATCGGTTAGCTAATACTTTTGCTATCAATTTATAAGCAAAATTGCAGAGGGTAATTGGGCGATAGTGAGTTACACATTCCACGGTGGCACTATGAGAACTCATGTAATTTGGGTCTGCTATCAAACTGCCCATATGAAAATAACTCGTCTACCGATTTCTTTGGTAGAACAATCCAATCATTCCGTCGGGTGCTTTTGTCGCTCCAATCCCAAATATCATATCTCTTCCATCAGCAGAGATCTTGTTAAAATATGTCTCGAGTTTGAGCCGGATAAACGAAACCCGACTCGAAATTATTTGTGTGGAGGTCTGAATATTTTAAATTGGATATTCCCTGATATGAAATTGGAATCAGCGAAGAAAGAAAGAATATTATTCTTTCCTAATTCTAATGGGAGTCACGGTCAACAAAGGGAAAGTGCAAACCATACTTTGTTGACCGAAATATGCAGGTTTGCAATTCTGAGTCGGCCATGTTCTCTTCTTGGGTATATATACATATGCACGCCGTTATTGATGTGTGTGGGCAGTGGGTTATTTCGTTGGTTACGAAGAAGTCTTGAAGTGCCGCCATGGATGTGAGTCTTGAAGCTCTGTTTCGTTGAGTGCTTGGCATGGGATTTTCTTCGTGGAATTACACCAAGAATTCAAGTGTTAGTAGCGATTAAATCTTGTGATAAGATTTATGTAAAATTCTTTCGCGAGATTGAAAGATTATTCGTGAGGAATTGGGGGCTAAACACTGCGTGAGTTATTGGGTATAATTGGGGCTTGGGAAACACTTAGAGTGTTTGAGTGACTCGAGTGTGGTTATAATCTCCATTGTATCGCTTGATCTATAGTAGAATTCCGTGCTGCTCTCCCCGTGGACGTAGGCCACTACGACCGAACCACGTAAATCTGGTGTCCGATTTATTTTCTTGTTCTGTCAAATTTTATTGTTCGATCGCTTTGCTTCCGTAACAATTGGTATCAGAGCCTGGCTTGGCTGAGTTAAAGTGAATCGATGGTGACAGAAGAAGGAAAAGTGAGAATCGACAGATTTGATGGGAAGGATTTTGGTTCTGGAAGATGCAGATTGAGGATCATCTATATCAGATGAAACTACACTTGCCCCCTGTCTGGGGAGAAGCCAAAGACGATGAACCAAGCTGATTGGGAATTGTTGGATAGACGAGCTTTGGGTGTTATTCGGCTGACGTTGGCACGAACGTCGCGTTTAACATCGTGAATGAGAAGACCACTGCGGGTTTGATGAAAGCCCTGTCGGACATGTACGAGAAACCTTCTGCAATCAACAAGGTCTATTTGATGCAACGTCTGTTTAATTTGAAGATGAGCGAAGGTGCGTCAGTTGCTCATTATATTAATGAATTCAATGTGATCGTTAGTCAATTGAGTTAAGTTGATATTGACTTTGAAGATGAGGTACACGCTTTGATTCTATTATCCTCATTACCTGATAGTTGGAGTACTACTGTTACTGCTGTTAGTAATTCCTCTGGGTTGACAAGTTTGATGTTTGATGGTGTTCGAGATTTAATTTTGTGTGAGGACATTCGTAGAAGAGAATCTAGCGAACATGTATCTGCTGCTTTAGTAGGTGAAAATAGAGGAAGAACTGGTACACGTGTTAGCAGAAGCAGTATGAACTCGAATAGACGAAGTCAGTCTCGGACTAGTGGTATTATCTGTTGGAGTTGTGGCAAGAGGGGGCATATTAGAAGGGATTGCCTTAAATTGAAAAACAACAAGGGTAAGGGAATTAGAGTTGATCCTGTGGATGATGTTGCAGCTATAGCTGATGGTAATTCGGATAATGCCGATTATGTCTTGTCTGTCACTGATGATTCGTCGTTTGACGGATGGATTATGGATTCTGGTTGTTCTTTTTATGCGACACCAAACAGGAACTGGTTTACTATTTATCAGTGCACGGATAGTAGTAAAGTGCAGTTGGGGAACAATTCTGAAGGCGATGTTGTAGGTGTTAGTGATGTCAAAATCAGAATGCATGATGGTATCGTGAGGACATTGACTGAAGTGAGGCATGTTCCAGAGTTGAAGAAAAATCTGATTTCCTTGAGTGCCCTAGATTCAGCTGGGTATCGGTATTCTTTAGAATGTGGAGTTCTGAAAGTTGTTCGAGGTGCCTTGGTGATAATAAAAGGAATCAAGCATAATGGCCTGTATGAGCTTCAAGGTGAGACAGTGATGGAATTCGCTGCGGAGACGTCGGATGCATCGGTTCGAGAGTCCGAATTGTGGCATATGCGTTTGGGGCACATTAGCGAGAGAAGCCTGAAGGTTCTAAGTGAAAGAATTTTGCTATGTGGTTATGTGGCTAACGAACTGAATGTATGCAGTTGCTGTGATTTAGATCAACGGCGAAAAGTGCAATTCAGTACGACCGTCAGAGAAACCACGGATATTGCAGAATTAATTCACTTAGATGTTCGCAGGTTGTCGCGATTTCCTTCGAGGAAGAGTGCCAGATTTATGCTAACAGTTGTTGATGACTACTTGAGGAAGACGTGGGTGTTTGTGCTAAGGCACAAGTTTGATGCTGTTGTCAGGATCAGGCAGTTAAAAGCTTTGATCGAAAAGGAGACTGGTAAAACGATCAAGCAGGAGCGGACTGATAGTAGTATGGAGTTTTGCTCGAAGCTGTTAAACGAATTCTGCATGAAGGAAGGCATAGTGAAACACCGCACTAGTGCCATTGAACCACAACAGGTTGCAGAGTTGATGAGCAGAACATTACTAGAGACGGCCCATAAAATGCTCACTAGTGCTGGTATGGCTAGGAGATTCCTGGCGGATGCACTTAGTACGGCGAGTTACTTGAAAAATAGATCCCCATCGACTGCGATTGAATGTCAGACTCCCGAAGAAGTGTAGTCAGGTAACGTTGCTGATTATTCTGTTCTTAGAATATTTGATTGTCCATGTTATGTTTGAGTTAGTGATGGTAAGCTCGATGGAAGGACAAGAAAGTGCATGTTCCTAGGTTATGCACAAGGTGAGTGGGGCTATAAGTTGTGGTGCCCGGAATTAAATTCACCTGTTGTCAGCAGAGAAGTTACATTTGACGAGTCTCCAGTACTTCTGGCTAGGAGTGTTAATAGCAGTGTTTATACGGATCTAGACGGTGTTCAGCTTAAGGTGGAGTTGCAACCAGAAACTCCTGAGGTAGTGGGTACTAACGAAATAATCGACACGGATGGTGCTTGTAGCGAGGTGGAGCCTATTGAGCCAATAGTTGCTGTAACTGCTGATATTGACAAGGTGCGTATTCGATCTCCTGACAGATATGGATGCAATGATGGTTTTGCTTTATTTGCG